TTCTAAGATGCGGGGTAGATGGTACGCGATACGGAGGTGACAATTGATGAAGCATTCGGCTCTTTGTCTGAATGTCATTGATCAACACAAGCTTTATTTTCCCTAACCAGTAGAGGGATATAATTTTACTTTTGAAACTTCATTTATTTTTAACCAGCACTGAGAGCACAATTTAATTCTAATTCAACAACACGGCCAATAGCCGTGTTTCTGATCCTCGAATCTTCTTTCATGTTCTGAAAACGTTGTTCCTTTAAGTTGAATACTTCTCTCTTTTCAGTATAAGATTATTTTTTTGTGTGTTGATCAAGCGTTTGACCTGAACAAAACTCTTTAAACTCTTTGGAATGACCCTCATTTTAAGGGATTACATCATCCTGCAAATAAGGGCTTTGTCTTTGGTTTCATTTTTCTTTTTGGGTGAAATGAATTAATTCTGTTGGATGAAATCAATGAAATATTAGGCTCACTAAACCGAGCTGATACAATGACAAGGGTTGTTTAATATTTATGCATTATTACAACTAATATTTTAAATGATTATTGTCATTATCAAGTATTAATCACACCCACGACTTTTACCCACACCCACACCCACATCCACACCCACGACCCACGACTTGTACCCCCGACCCACGACCTACGACCATTAGTCAAACTGCAACTTAATCATATCGAGTGTTACAGACAAAAAGACCTATTGTTAAGAATATCAAGTGACATGCTCCTCGCTTTCAAAATCATTTGTCTGCTTGAGCTTCTAATAGTTTTCGTTTCACGCAATTCAGTTACAGGTCGTCAAGCATGCAGACGGCGATGCTTATCCTTTCTAAATCAGAGCGTTTGCTGTAGGCATGATGGAGTACCTGCTTAATACTTTAGAATGAAGATAGCTAGCATCGATGCCACAAAAGTGGTAGTTAGGAAGCCAACAGGTACACGCAGAAAATATTTCGAGATCAACACAATAGATGACTGTGTTTTTTCATATCTAATGCCTTTGTTTCAGTGTACTTTTTGCAAGGCATTGCCTTCCGCCATAATTAAACAGTATAGGAAATGAAAACAGCAGACGCTTCTGTGAATCATCATAACGCCATCAGTAATGTAATCGAAAGAGAGAAACTATGAAATTATGATCGTGCTGCATATATTTTCACTAGTTGATATCATTATAGGGTATTTTTGAGAAGAGAAGTTCCACTTATTTTACTGATTCGGGCCGTTTTAAATGTCCAGTTGTTTTGATAATTGCTATGTTTGGCTCGCCTAAAATACTTTTGACCGTGCATGGGATTGCCACTGACTTCGATACAGGTTAGAATGTAATAACTGGTGATGTATGTGGCTGAAACATCGAAACTCACTCCCTCAGTTAGTCTCACTGCCTCCTTTGTACGAATTAATAGGGTATGTAAGCTAATGGATTGCATTGGAATTTGGTGCGAAGACTCCCAAGACACCAATCTTAAATATAAAAACCGTGAGGGGGAATTCCGTTTTTCAAAATGGATCTCCTGCTGCGGCCTCCGACACAGTGCATATCGGTAAAATACTGTTCAGCGAAATTAGCAAGCAATAAGAATATCGAAAAATCCCCACACAGTTTTGAAGCCCATACCCGCAGGATTGAAACTGTACAGAAGTTCTATTTGTGCGGTCAGATTTGATATGCGATTTATTCGCTCAAAGAATCATCGTCCATTTCGATTTGTCGCATCCCTTTCGGATTTCATAACCTTCCATCGTAGTACGGTTTATGGAGGCTATGCTTCGCTTAGCGTTGAAAGGTCTATCGTTTCCTCAAACAACAACTTTTATGGATTACCGGTTGAGCTATTGTGTGAAGTCGTATAAGTTACCTCTGATGCAATGTTAGATTGTGTTATAATTATAAAAAGCCCAGGTGTTTTGCTTTAAGAAACAATAACATGACAGACGAGAGGAGAACTCGCCGTAATTCGATCTGGAAAATCACTGAACATGTTGGATATTGCAGTAAATGGTTTGAACCCGGGGGTAACAAGTGAAGGTGTAGTCTGATCGTCCGGGTGAGTGTAGTCCTGAGAAGGACTGTTGTCGGTGGTAGTGACTGACGTTTCGACAACCTGTGCGGAAGTCATCATCAGAGTCAAGTGAATGATTGTTGTCAGTAGAATGTTCTTATTCCAGTTCGTGTGAAATGATCGGTTGGTTTTGCCGTGATGTTATTGGCTGTAAGACTCAAGTGACGTAAGTCGGTCGTGATTGGTCTGTTTCGATCTGTCGGTAAAGTTAGGTCGTTCTTTTTCGGTCGTTTGTGATGTTTATGTCGTGAATGAGTCGTTTGTATGGAGCGGGTAGTTGTTGACATCTGTTTAGGGGAGTCTGTTCTAAGTTAGTAAACCAGCTTTCCAGAGTCAGTCGTTGAAAATAGTCAGTGCTGTAGGTTAGGCATTGCGCAGAGTCCCAGTCAATGTTGTGGTTGGTAAGTCGATGGTGTTCAGCAATGTGATTGCTGACATCACCTTTCCTCGTCGCCCGTCTGTGTTCAGTCAGTCTTGTTGTGAGGTTTCTGCCAGTCTCACCGATGTAGGAGGCTTGGCAGTCGGAACAATTGATCTTATAAATCGTTCCCTGTCTGTTCCTCGGTTCGTCTTTGTCTTTAACGTTGGTTAGTAACTGACGTAGTGTGGTGATGGGTTTGTGGGCGACGCGGATATTGAAGGGTAGTAAGATGCGCGAGATGTTTTCAGACATGCCTTTTATGTACGGTATGGTTGCTGTAGTCGTAGGGGTTGCGGTGTCGTTTGTTTCGGTAGTGGTAGTGGGTCGGTGAGTGTTTCGTCGGATGAAGTCGTTGTTGTAGTTGTTCTTCGTAAAAACACGGTGAAGGTATTTGTTCTCGTCGGATAAGCTGTCTGTCGAGTCACATACTAGTTGTGCGCGTCGTGTTAGAGTTCTGATAGTTGTGGCTTTGTGTGATGTAGGGTTGTAGGATGACTCGTCTAGTAATCTGTCGGTGTGTGTCGGTTTCCTGTAAACTGTCGTTCGTAATGAGTTGTCGTTGTGGCTTACCAGGCAGTCTAGAAAAGGAAGTTTGCCATTTTCTTCGACTTCTCTGGTAAACTGTATGTCAGTGTTTTGTTCGTTAAGGTGGTTGTGGAATGCGTCAATTTCGTCGTGTCGAACGGCGGTGAATGTGTCGTCAACGTAACGTAACCAAAGCGGTATCGTTTGTCGGCAAGTCGAAAGGGCGCGTTCCTCGATGTTCTGCATCACAATTTCTGCTATAACAACAGAAACTGGAGACCCCATGGCAGTGCCGTGTAACTGTTTGTAGTGTTTACCGTTGTACTGAAAGTAAGTAGACGTTAGGCAAATGTTTAGCAAGTCCATGATGTCGTCTGTCGGTAGCGGTAGTGGGTCGGTAGATTGTCGGATTGCAGTCTCAGTGCATTGTAATGCNTGGTTTACTAACTAAGAACAGACTCCCCTAAACAGAAGTCAACAACTACCCGCTCCATACAAACGACTCATTCACGACATAAACATCACAAACGACCGAAAAAAAAAAACAAAACAAAAAGAACGCCTAACTTTACCGACAGATCGAAACAAACCAATCACGACCGACTTACGTCACTTGAGTCTTACAGCCAATAACATCACGGCAAAACCAACCGATCATTTCACACGAACTGGAATAAGAACATTCTACTGACAACAATCATTCACTTGACTCTGATGATGACTTCCGCACAGGTTGTCGAAACGTCAGTCACTACCACCGACAACAGTCCTTCTCAGGACTACACTCACCCGGACGATCAGACTACACCTTCACATGTTAGATATTACTCAACATTATTAGTACGCAGATTATTACTTGCTGCTTATTGTCGTGCATTGAAATGACCATTTTCACCCAATTGGCTGTGATTTCCCTATTAGAAATTTGCTCAATTATGAAATAAATCCTCTAATAACGAAGCCTATAATGCATTTACACTCTTTTTTTTTATAACAACCTATTTAATAAGAACGTCGAGGCTGAGATTAGCCAAAATTTTAAGAACGTACTAAAAACATTCCTCAGGCTGTATATTATCTAACAAGCATAAAATCAAGGTAACAAATGTTAATTAACCAAAATACTTAAGGGCATGTTTTTTTATAACATTAACACTGATTTACTGAAATAGTTTACATGTATCATGTGATTTAAGAACATCTTAGTCATCTTTAGAACGTTTACAGACTCAAATCGCAAAAACGTATATGACAACGTTCAGCCTCAGCTCCAAAATTAGACGTTCTTATAAAAAAAAGAGTGTAAAGGGAATAAAGGGACCGTTAACATTTTCCTTGAGAATATTTCCAGTTCCCGCTCTTGACACTACTTATGAATTTGAACCAGAACTATTTCGGAAGTTTCAAATCAAAGCTACTCATGTTGGTTAAAAAAAACAATTTCTATTGTACCGCGTAAAGCTATTTTTAGTTTCTAGGCATTGCATTTATTTACCCTTTGTCAGGACCTATCAAGTCTTAAACAATGTTTGGTGGAAACAGTAATTTGTGGTCATTGACACTTTTTATTCACAACAGGTTCAACGACTCCATGCCCCAAAGGCCAGACTGGCGTTTTTCCGAACTGCACAGGTACCAATAAGCTCTGCCTTGATTGACTTACTCGTTAATTGATCGGCAATTGGTCGAAAAACCTAATCATAATCGTAACATAAGCATTTCTGGGATTTTACATCATAATTATTATCATCGCCATTTTCATTGTATTTTGCACCATTAGGATCAACCCCATAAAGTATAATTTTTAACCAGTAAAATTATAGGAAATGAAGATTGCTAACACTGTTTCTATATTGCTTTGAACTACTGGCAACATCAGCAGTGCAACACCTAACGCTTATTCTTCGAGGCCAGAGATAGTTGTTGAAGAGATTGAATCAGAGAGTGTCAAAAACACATAATGAGAGAAATAATATATACATTTATCAATATTAAGAATAGCGCATCATTAGCGTGAGACTGTCTATGCTATGTGTTTATTTCAGTGTCAAAAAAAGTCGATTTCCCACTTGCTAAAGTTCCTGTTCCATCTGTTAAGTACTTGGATGATAACGAGAGCTGGGTGACACTCTTGTGCCAATTTGATTTTCCTAACTGGGGAAATGTATCGTTTGAAATACAGTGGTTTGTGAACGGACAAGGCTATACTCCGAATCGAATCTGCAAGAGTAAAGACGACGATTGTGATAAAAGATCTTTTCCATTATCCAGCACTGAAAATGCGACTCCTCGTTTCAAACCTGGTGATAACGTAAAGTATCCACCTGTACCTAGCGTAAATTTAGCCGTCCTCGCTTTCCCTTTTTTTAGTCAAGGCAATACAATTTTGCTTTTTTTGCTTTGTGTTAATTTTCCCTGCTGTTGTATTATCGCCAAAGGTGATATATTTTAATCTATGTATCTTTTTTTCTCTAAATGGGTAGTTGATTCTGCTTTGGTAACGGCTTTCGTTTCTCTGGCTGTCTGTTTAACCTTTTATCTCTTTCACTCTTTTACTTCTTGGTTTTTTTTTTTTTGTTTTGTTTTGTTTTTTTTTTTGTGTGTTTTGTTTTTTTGTTTTGATAATCCACACGTCCGTGCCTGTATTTTGTTTGCTTCTTTCTTTTGTTTGTCTGTTTAATGTGCTTTTCGTTTCTTTGTCGTTCTAGCTGATTTCCTCTTTTCGGTCTGGTTTATGAAACAAAATTCTTTCTTCGGTCCATATAAAAAGGGAGAAAGTGCATGTGTTTTTATGTGTTAGGTGCGATGCGAAATACGAGCCAGATACAACAATTATTCAAAAAATAATTGGACCCAGCCTGTGTCAAGCGCACTATTTTTTGCCGGAATTGAGGTGAGTTACTTTTATTCGTAAAGAGTGATGATGATCAAAACAGAAATCGATTATTTTGAATTTTATAATTGGTCTTAGAAATGTAAATCAAATTGCAGATCAGGCCAAGACAGTTGAATATTGAGGAGTGCGACATACAAAACACCAATAAGTATACCTTTCAGCTTCGACCGACCGTCCCCATCCGCAAACCAGACAGTATAACTCTTTCATTTGGCGCTCGCGATAGTGGAGAATATCTCGCACCTAAATGTAAGATCACTTTGGAACAAAGCGATGTTAACAAGTGGAAGAATGTCTCGGTGCAAGTTAAGTGTGATAACATCGATAGACCAACCAAGAAAGCTGCCTTCACATTTTCAGTCGCGGATTTGCATGATTTCTGGTTGTCATATACTCTTCCTAGTGTTGTGGTAGGTTTATAATAGATTATTTTTTCCCAGTCTCCAAAAGCCGATTCACACTGGCTTGTACTTTCCTTTTCTCTTTTACATGTGGCAAAAAGCCTAAATTTGAAGTAAAAATATGTATGGATATTAGTCCGCGGAAACTATCTGTTTTAAAATTGGAACAGTTGTCTAACAGCGAAGTTCAAAGATAACTGTCAGCTTTGAGGAACAGACAATTTACAAGGACAAATAAAACGAGCATGTTTTCCCGCCAAATGGAGAGTATTGTGTTTATAATTCTTCAAGTATTTTTCAATTGTACGTATAAAATGTTCACGAACAGTTTACTGATACTGGATATTCCTCGGATATTCCTCCGATATTCCCCAATTTTTGTTGGGTTATATTAGATCACGTGATGCCTTTAGACCGATGACGCGCGAGCAATATTACTCGATGATTTACAAATCAGCAATAGCCTCCATTTTGCACGAATATTTGACCGCATACAGCAAACAGTTTTTCATAGAGTGGAGCTCGAGGAAAACTCTGAGACTCGTGAAAAAAGCACAAAATTAATAAGTTATTTCCGTAACTAGGCGTGAGGGCCGTGTTAGGGAATATTTTCCCGTGGTCGTGGCAGTGCTAGGTCTACATAAACGGCAGCGCAGCGTGGTCTGTATATGAACGACCTACAGCTACTACTAAGCAATTGAAGACTTAATCAAGAACGAGCTTCTATACCGGACTTCCTTTTGCGGTCTTCACCATAAGTAAAAGTAGTCAATACATTTCTGTCTCCTTAGATCACTTACCATAGTTCTTCATAATATCTCATCAATTTTCTCTCTATGACATAATGTTTGTATTGCAATTTATCTTCGTTAAATATGTGCACATTCATCATTAAAATCATCGATATTTTTTAGTTGACAAAGATTGAAACACCTGTAAACCTCTGCCAAGCCACGGGCGACCCACACTACACTACATTTGATGGAAAGTATGTTATCTCGCTCTTCGAATCATATAACTATTTCGTTTTTAATCGCCAGGTTTATCTAAATCTAGCTAGCTGGTCCGCATTATGTCAGTTCGTTTTGGGTCTTCAACGACTTTAATTTTATTCAGAATATTTGTTACATCGTTTTCTCACATCCGTCCTTAAGTGTACCACTGGCCGTGAGGCTGACAGATAAATATTCTTAAATGTTTTTTTTCTTTTTTTCAATAAAAAGCAATTTATGAGCTTTACACGTGTGAGTTATTAGAGGCTGAATCGGAAAACTACGTGTGTCGCGGTGTGGTGGCTATTTTGACTCTTTAATTTTTTACTCGTCATTCCCTTTTTTTTTATTTTGCACTTTTAAAATGCAATAAAAAAAAAAAAGAGAAAAAAAAGAGAAAAAGAACAGAAGGAGGAAAAAGAGGACAAAGGTTAGGCGAGAGGCAGTCTATGATTAGATTAAGTAACGTTAAAGCGATGTTTGCCGGGATGAACACCCCCAAGATTAATTTGAGCTGAAGCTGTCGTGTCGGAGTAACGATAAGGAAGGAAGATGCACATTGGGAAGTGGAATCCAAGTAGCTAAAGATTTCATCCTATTTTCCAGGTACTACGACTTCTACAGACCTGGTGATTATGTTTTGTATCGCAACTTGGAACGATTCTTTGAGGTAAGATCATTATCATAGTCCTCTTTTATGGTGCGAAAAAAGTTTCAGCGAGTTTCAGCCGGAACTTGAAGTATTCAGTGATGTTTATACCAAATTTTAGAACATATTTTTGATTATCTGGAACCAGACACACGGACTTTTTTGTTGAAATCTATCGCAGAGTGTATGTCTTCTTGATTTGAAGGTTTTTTAGAGTCGTTAGGATCATTCGTTGTTTCGTCCTTTTTTTGTTTTTTGTTTTTTTGTTTTTGTTTTTGTTTTTATTGCGTATTTCGCAGAAACACATAAGATTGTGTTTGAAATCGAAAACTTAAATGTTTATTTTCATAAATTGATTTTTCCATAATCAAACCAGTAAGGCAAGATTTTGCGAACAGAAGGTACACTTTAGCAAGTGAAATTACAACGCACTTGAAATACAACAAAACTTACCGACTGTTTCGGGCTTAGAGTGTCCAACAACAACAATTTACGGTAACAAAATATGCTAGTACGAATACAACTAGTTCTCCTTCGAAGAGCTCATAGTAGATTTCCTATATGTTTGCGTCAAAACCTAAGCACGCAATGAGAGCTACAGGTTTTTTTTTTTTTTTTTTTTTTTTTTTTTTTTCTTGCTCTGGTTTGGTATTTCCCTGCTTTAAAAGCTCCTTTATAACCTCCTCCTGCTCAATTCAAAATCATGAACTTGGCAGAAATATTAAAAAAAGTGTGGGATGTTGGACAGAAGATGAAACATATTTGACTTCGTATCAACCGTGCTTTTGGACTCTGATAGATCTGAGACAGCTAGCGATGAGTCACAGAGCCTGCAGTATCTATTTCAATTTATAATGATAATATATCTGGAACACTAGATTACCAAACCAGAGTTTTACATACCCGTCTCGTTATGTCAATGATTCCAATGAAATCAATGTACAAAAGAAATGTTCAGTGTCAGGTAATGACCATTGCGAGAATACACACCTACAACTTAATAACCGGGAGTAAGCTTGTTACGGGAAAATTTTAAACTGAAGACCTTGACGTATCTACGGTAAAACTACATACGCCAGTGAACTACACCACTGTATCACGTATTCTGCCAAGAACCACACTTAAATAGGGGAAAATTGGTTCTCAGAACCCTATAAAGTATATCAGTACAGTTGCGTCACAACTTGATGAGAGAAATTTTGACCGATTTTCAAGGTAAAACGTCAACTGGAGTGCATACAGGAAAGAGAGCAAAGTGCTTCAAAATAGTTCACACAAGTTCGGCCCTTGGTAAATAAAACGCAAATACTTCGAAATGTACTATTCAGAATATTTTAATCTTCGCCTTCGCTTTCGACAACAGATATTTGCCTTCTGGGGAATTTATGGATGAATTGAACTTTACAGGCCTTTTGAACATCTAAAACTACGTGAAGTAAACAATAGTAATGCTACTAACAGAAACCACTCGATTGTTTACATCGAATGTCGTTGTAAACTGATTTACACTCGGTTGTTGATTGTCGAGTGAATCCAATGATGAGAAATACTAGGCAACGTTAACTAAATTTTAACTTTCGGTGATTGTTGAGACTACTAGATTTTCTAATTCAAAACTGTACCTCAATCTACTCCTTCTCTAAATGTTGATCTTCCTTCATCATTTTCAATCGCTTCGATAGTAGGAAAAAAGCGAAAAGAACCACCGCGCACTTGTCTTTCTGATTTGCATAATGCATAATCGGCTTGTACGCATTACCACCCACTATATAATGCCCGGCTCCGCTCTCGTTCTTAGCCAATCAGAGTGCACGTTAGATCGGCAACAAGCCTGAGTGATACAAAAAAAGTAACTTATACATCCCAAACAATGAAGAGCGCATTTATTAGCCCTTTTCCGAATTGACTTTAGCCTCTTTTTTAAAGCGAGTCCTGGTGCTCATCCTTTCGTATGGTAATAAGTTTTCATTCACATGCAAATTAAACTAATTTTCATAAGTATGGTTGAGCACCAGGCCTCGTTTCGAAAAAGAGGCCAAACGTAATTCGGAAATGGCCTATTGGTGAAGAGCAGCCATGCCACGTATTTCGGCTTTTGTCTACTTTGAATACCGACAAACGACAATTTTTTCTCTTTCTTTTTTTTTTACGATATCAACAAACCACCATTTCTATCTTAGATCCATACCCGCTTATGGACCTGCTGGAGCGTGACTTGTAACTGCGGCGTAGCAATCAGGGAACACAACGACGTTATCGTTTTAGACACATGTACGCAAGATTTGATTCAGCGGAATGGAATGCCAATGAAAATACGAATTCCGAGTGGAAGAAAATTAAGAAAAGGGACGCATATCCTTAGCCGCCATCCAGGCGGTTACAGCGAGTACGAGGTAAGCACTTGCTCATAAGTTCATCAGATGATTTTATAGAAAACTTCATGGAAAGTCTTTCCGTATGATATTTACGCGCGAGTTGGCGGTATCGGGAATCAAACGAGTGAACAAGTGAGATCTTTGATACAAACCGACGAGTGGGTAAATATCATACAGACGAACTTTGCATGGTGTATTGTACTTAATTCCTACACACGAAGATTCAATTCTTGTTCAAAAATAATTTACCGTTAAACAGGTTCAAGTCACAGGCTCCTTAATTGCTCATAAAGATGTACTGAGTGAATCAAACAAGTTGCCTTTCTGATAGAAACATGCAAAGCACTACTGATAGCGAGTGATTAACATCAAAATACCTCAAAACACTTGATGCAAGAAATCTTAAGCTTGAGCAGGGTTTATAATATTCTCTGTCATTACGTCGAACAAAGTGAATGAACTCCTCAAATACATCTCTCATTCCTCGGTCATTATAAGTGTTACTCGCGTTCTTTTTCAGTTTCTTCTACCAAAAATTTGTCAAAAGTTTTTAAACCTCGCTTTCTTTTCACTTTTGTTGTTGTTGTTGTTCTTTTTTTTTGTTTGTTTGGTTTTCTCAATGTTTTCTTCTTGATCTCCACAGAACTTTGACTTGTGCCAAATATTTTGTCACTCATTTTATGTAAGGAATTTGAATCAATGAGAGCGGGTTTTGAATTGAAGTTTTCGCAGGTTTGAAAATATAACGCTGGAATTGGAGTATGAATGTGGATCGCCTTGATACGCGGCTTCTGATTGAACGTATCGTTTTCCTCACAAGTGAAAGATGCGATAGGCGCATTGATTGGCTCTCGGCTACTTGGTACAGATCGTAAATGTAAATGTATTTCTCTATGTATTTCTTCGTTTTCTAAGACTTAAAGAGGTCTTAATTGAGCTGTATAAACACATAGCCGCCTAACATTTTCCATGTAAGGTGCGAATAAGAAGCACTCAAAGTAAAACAACACTTATGAAAGATTGTTGACCATCAAAATTAGTGCATGCAATATGCGTCTGATAAGATTGGTTCCGAATTTGGTAGGCTTGTGAGTTTTTGTAAAATAGCCAACGTAAAAACCTAATCTCTATCGGTCCAAGTTGGTTCATTCTTTCCCCATAAAGCACGATCTATGAGCGTTGTATCCCAACATATACACGAAAGCTACTTCAGAAGAATTTTCCAAACACAGAGGGCAAAAATACTGTTGGTCTACTTTAATGTCCTTAATGGTTAAGGAGATTCCTCACTTCAGTATCACCTTCGATGTATGCTCATGAAATTGAAGACAAAAAAATCAACAATCAATAAAATTCTCACGAACTGGAAAAGGAGATAAGGAGTGCAGACCTTTGCGAACAAAAATAAAACTAACTTTTAGTTGATTTGGAAGCGAAATTCACCAAAAGTTCATCCAAATGAATGGAGTAAGTACAAGGGCCTGTATTCGTTTAGATCTCTCATTTTGTTTGTCTTTCAGTTTGCTTTATTTTATTTCAGAAAGTTCTACCGTATTTGTTTCTAATTTGTACTGAATACACCGCTTTTCTTTCTTGCAATCGCTTAATGTCGGTCGAAAGGTATAGTTTTATGCGAAATAGCAAAGATATTGTCCAGAAGTATGAGAGGGTCGGTATCGTCATAATCTCTCGTGGGACCATGAGTTAGAGACTTAGGTAAGAGTTATTCTTTTTTCTTAAGGTAAGACTTCCATCCGGAACAATAGTGAAAATACAGCATAATTACTGGGGAAATAACGCATATCTACAAGCGCCCCAGGCTGATCGTGGTAAAACGAAAGGCATGTGTGGAAATTTTAATGGTGATCCAAATGATGACTTTCTCGGGGGTGATAAAAAATTGCACAGTGGTCCAGATTCCTTTGGACAAAGTTGGAGGTAGGTATTTTGTACTATTTGATATTTACGACATTTTATGACGATCTTTTTACGTACATCTCTGAAGACCATAGAAGGATTTTTGACATAGCTCCGTCTGCGGCATTTTATAATAACGAAGGAGGTCGCCTTTTATTGGAAAATTCTTCAATACGTATTACAGTAGGCGTTAGCTGCTACAAAATTCCGCCACCGTTGTTTCCAAAATGCGTAGGTGATTACAAAATGCGTCGTCATTTCAAAATGCCGCAGAACAGACATAGCATGTTTTGTAGCTACAGCCCCCTATAGGAGGCGAAGCCGCATACGTTGTCGAGATGAGGGAGTTAGTGAGTGATTGTGACAATAATTACGATCCTGACCCAGTTTCGCAGAGCTACTAATTGTTCTTTTCGGAAGTATCTTCAGAATATCTTAGAAGTTCGACTTTCACACTCGATACACAGTTGAGTTCTCTCCCCTTGTGATTTTTAGCACATTATGTTTTCAGTTCTTGCCATGACACAATGGAAGACAACAGAAAGCGATAAGTGACATCTGCGCGGAGTTTTACTTGCAGAAATATCTTAATAGGTGTGATTGGTGCATCATAAAACCTGGGGGGGAAAATTTTTCCTTTGAAGAGAGAGCATTTTACTGGTTAAATCAGCAAATTGTGTAACTCCGACGAAATTCGTTTCAGTTCCTGCCGTAAGTGGTCACTACAAAAAGCCATGAATATCTCAAAATATTTTCACAGCGAAATTCAGCGACGCTTAATTAAAATTAAACTTTTCCGAGCAGAAATATCTCAATAGACGTGATCTGCGCATGATGTAAGCTTTGACGAAAATTTTCTTAGGGGTTGAGTCAGCGACTTTTGCCGAAAATGGCCGCTAAATTTTCGAAGCGAGCAAGCCGTCAAATACGGTGCCTTGAGTTATTCAACAGAATAATGTAACGAAGAAACGGTGGATCGGCAAAATGGCGGAATATCTTATGACTCAGAGTGACGGGAATTCGTAAAATGAATGGAACTGCAATAGAATAAAAAAATTATTTCCAATTAACAGGCGAAATTAAAAAAAGCACTGGTAATCACCTTTGGAGCCCTGAGGATGGGGGAACCATGATGCTTTCGAGCTAGTTCCTATAGATTTTCATTATATTACTATTGTTATGATTACTAACATCGTATATGTTATTAATAGTTACCATTTAAATATTGGCGGAATATCAATAAGACAATACATTCTTGAAACATCGTTCTCTTCTGGAACAGGGTAATCATAAATATGTGGGATGTGGCAGGTTAATATATCTGCAACAATACCTTCTGGCGTCATCATAGAACCGTTATGGTTCTTTTCGATGATACAAAAATTGTGCTATAATAGTAGCCAGATGCAATCTTTGGCTGTCTATTTTTTATTACTAGGAGCATCAATAGTGAGACTAATCTGATCGAAAAAATAAATAGCATTTAGACATGATCCACAATTACTCAGAATAGTCATGGATTAGTGGACATCCGCACAAACTAATCAAACAAAAATGGTGCTCTCTTTAGTTACAACTAAATGTTTGTGAAAATAACATATTATGAATTCCAAACAACTACGCATGTAAATGACATTTAGCTTGGGAAAATGTTTTCTCGCTGCGTAGAGAACTCTTCAAAATACCTCATTGAAGAATTAAGGCTGATAGTTTCTAAAAAAGCTGTTTGGGGCTGCGTCGGTGGGTGTAACGAAATAATTTGGATATATCAACAAAGTTGAAATGGTAAATTGGCCACCGTAACGATTACAAAAGCTGACGTTTTGGGCGTTAGCCCTTCGTCGGAACGTTAGCCCTTCGCCATTCGCTCCGACGAAGGGCTAACGCTCGAAACGTCAGCTTTTGTAATCGTTACGGTGGCCAATTTACCATTTCAAATTTGTTGATATATCCAAATTATTACATTGAAGAATTAAACTCACGCAACATGTAAATGTTCATTACGTGGTCAAACACTAAGAAGCATTTCTGTCTTAGAAATAACTTCGGTTTGAATAGGAGAACTTATTCAGAGATAAATAACATAAACATAATTAATTTGGTAATTTGGTTATATCATCTAAGTTCAAATTGTAAATTGGCTCTAAGTTGAAATTGTAAATTCGCTCTGATGAAGGGCTAACGCTCGAAACGTCAGCCTTTTTATTTGTTACGGTGGCCAATTTCCAATTTCAACTTAGTTGATATAACCAAATTACCTTGTTACCCCCACCGACGCAGCACCACAGTTTCTTTAGAAACTTTCAGCCTTTCAACAACCTAATTCGGTTTATAAATTTTCTTTATCTTTTACCATTCTGAATGAACGTTATACAAAAAAAACAAAAGAATTAACATTCAAATTCTGGATTTGAAGGATATTTTTCGACTTTAGTAAGACCTGGAGCACGGCAACGACTAAATCATTTGGTAGGTTATTTGCAGAATGTCTTAGTTCCGAACGGTTATAGAAATTCCAACTTATATAGGTATACATGTAACCACATGTCTTTGATCTTTTATCTTAGAGTCGATAGATCAGAAAGTCTCTTTCATAAAGTACCAATTTGCAATGATTCAGGGTGCGATGGTTCTGTCTTCGATATGGACTTGTGTACGTGCGAATCGATTTCCAAAACCACGTTGAAGATCGAATGCGGCCAGGACATTGCACAGCCTCAGACTACGAATGCAAATCCACCTTTTCAGCCAGTTCCTCAAGGAAAAGTAAACCAAAACGGAAAGAGAGGGATAACCTACACGGACGATATTATTTACTTCTATGACGACATTGAGCCTGACCAAAAATCTCTGCCGCCTCGTAAGAAACGTAACGTTAACGTTAAGGTGTCTTTGGAAAATGCAACTGAGTACTGTACGAAGTCTCTTTTAAGCACAAAGGCCTCCAAGGTTTGCTTAGAACTTTCAAATGTCAACGTTAGCAATGCAATCACACAGTGTGCCGCAGACTTGCAGGTAAATTTTATTTCATTTATCTATTCTCTATCACGTTGGGTACTGATTCGTTTGAATTACCATAATAAGAAGTGGTAAATTTAAGCTCGAATAAAGGAATAATTCGACATGTCAAGAGGAACCTAACGACGGTGTAATCCACTAATAAGTTTTCTTTTACATGGTCTTTTACACAACTTTAGTGCAAAATTCATCATTTAAGCTTTATTGTCCTCGACCCTCGCGTCTCTGATAAGCAGAGTCAAACTCGTCATAATTATTGTAATATTTATCTTCATCGTTATTTCCTATAGAAAGGCGGTTGCTGTGAAGAAGTTGAACTCATTACTTAGTTTTTGCAATTTGTTAAATTATCTCTCCGTATAGATCACAGGTGACGTTTTCTGGGTGGAGAGTGCCTTTGAGTCATTGAAATCATCTTGTCAATTCCAAGCTGTCAAAAACTATAGTGCCTACGAAAAAGATGAAAGTGGAAATCTTGTGCCCCCGGCAAAGATTACTCAGCTGCTGTGTCCGAACGACTGCAGCTTCCAAGGAAATTGCACGAACGGTACTTGTATTTGTAATGAAGGATATGTCTCTGCCGACTGTTCCATGAGATTCGATGAAATTCCTCAAGTGTTCAGGTAACTCCTGTATTTTACGTTGTGACTACTTATCTTCGGAATAATAGATAACTGTTGCTCTTTTAATTCCCGTCAGCTGAATGTATTTGAAAGGTGACACAAGCGGAGTTCGGGAAAAAAGTGTTGAGAAGAGAACTGATGATACCTACACAAATTCATAATATCCAAAATTCCTTTTTATACTTTGCCGTAATGTTTGAAATCACCGCTTTTCCTTTTGTTGGTCACTAAGTTCGTTGTTCAATGACCCTTATCCCTGTGATACGAAAACAATGTTGCAACAACAAAGAGAAGACCAAAAACCAAAAACCAAAACAACAACAACAACATTGAAGTTAAGGTCTCATTAATTTTTCTTCACCCTTCAGGTTATTGGATGAAGGCCTTTGTGATATCCGTGCTAGGCCATGCATGAGAACTATTGTTTTTGGACAGTACTTCTTAAGCTCAGAAAATTTGACATGCCACGTCAAAGAGTTCAAGGTGAAAGTGGATTTTATTTTTCCATGTTTTCTAGGTAGATGGGACAGAGATACTAGGTTTGGTTATTCTAGGACAACAACACCAGCAAATCAAATGAACGAAATTGAACTCACCTCACCTTTACATATTTTATTTATTTTATTCGTTTTAAATCTGAATTGCAACTTGCCGTTGTAACTTGAAACACCTATGCGGAAAAAGTTGTTTTCCAACATAAGAGAGAGGCTAGTTGCCATATTTTAAAACTATTCAGATTTTCTCGAGAGGTTGAAATCTTCTTAAAACTTCCGCAGAAAGTTTTTAAAGTTGTACATACATTCTCTAGTACATGATTGTCTGATTTTAAAAGGGCAATAAACTGGGAACTGTCAGGTACATGTCGCGAAAGAAAAATGCATTGTGGGCGATGTTTGAAGAAAAAAGTCTTCTATGGACTGATTCTTCGTTACCATATCGTAAATACGGAGGCTGATAAATGTAGAGCTTTGCCGGACGCCCTATCGACATGACTCGCTTTGTTTACTGGAGAACTCGGACTGGTACAGCTTGCGAGACACTGACCAACGTGTAAATGTTTTTCGTCATCCCATTTATGACCTAAAAAGTATAAGACTTTGAGAGATTTGCAATTTCACTGGTATTAAGTTTGAGAGTAAATTTACGTTTTCTGCCGTGTAACATTTTATTTTAAGCCTTTTTAGACGTAAAATGGGAGTCAAAAAGCAGTAGTAAACAACAAATGACTGCGTTTTCAATTTCTACTCCCGCTTCCCATCATCATATAGATCCTGCTTTCCGCCTTCTCCCGCCCCCTATTCTGCCTGGCTCCCGCCCCCGTATCCACCTCCACAAGACAACATGACTTGTGGAATCTCGAGGTTTGGAAACCACTCCCATAGACCAAGTAATCTCATTGTGTTATTAGATCATATCAGGTAACTGGATACCGTCAAACGGGACACAAAAGTTTAACGGAAGCAAAACAGACTTGTTTGCGATTGAGTGTAACCTTCCTAGCCCTCCTGTCCATTTGGGCCGCTATCATCTCGAAGGAATGCCAGCGGCAGGTTACATCGTGTCTGTCTCTAATGATGGCGAGCACCCAAGTCGGGAGCTTAAAATGATAACCTTCGACTCAGTGTGCCAATCGTGCAACATTTCACACGGATGTTTTCTTAAGGTGGGATATCAATGTCAAAAGTAAGCATAATCTAATATTCGGCACATTCTTATGAAGAGTTTCCATCCGAAGGTGGCGAGTCCCAAAATCTAGTCTTAACAATAGTTTTAGGTTCAAAAGATTATGAAAGTGAGATCATTTTTGCTCTCAGTTTATTGATCATTTTCTGATTTGATATCACGTACTCGTATCTAAGAAACGCAATCATGAAAATCAACTTATCTCAAGCAGATTTCATTTCAAATATGTTTGTTCTTGTATAGCAAGAGGCATGTCTAATCAAAGGCCACTGCTTCGCCAAAGATGATCCAAACCCCAAAGATTGGTGTCAGCAATGTATGCCGTCGACTGATCAACACGTTTGGACCAGAAGAAAAGGTTTCTCTGCTACTTTTCCTACTGTTTATCTAGTTATCAAAAGTCTGTTGATCCCATTGCTTTCATCAGATCAGCTTCAGTAACAATATAAATATCCAAGCCTCCAAATAGGATAAAAATGATGGTATCTTATCTTTTCAAGTTTCTAAATGCATATCGAAAATTGCAAATGAGTTTTTCGTAGTACTTCTAACACTAGGGTTTAACACAATGTATCGTCTGAATGTGATGTGGTTCTTTCTTTTAAAAATTTTCAGTAAATCTACCTCCTAACATCACAACACCGACCGTGAGATACGCCCTTCTTGGTGAAGACCTTCAACTACAGTTAGAGGGTGAAGATCCTGAAAGAAGGCCGTTTGTAATATCTATGACTGACGGAAATCCATCTCAAGGAAAGCTGTCTGCTAGCCATATTCTCCACTGGAAACCTGAGACAAAAAATGATACAAACTTTTTCTTTCAAGCAACTGACGAGTGTAACGCCTCATCCACACATAACATGACTATTAAGATTGTGATCTGTCCTTGCACTGAAAAAGGAACATGTTACCCCGATCCCGTTCACCCACGAGGATCAGGAATGTATGTTTGCAAGTGTCAGCCCGGCTACGAGGGAAAAAGATGCGAGAAGGAGATAGATGAGTGTATATTGTCTCCATGTGTTCATGGTGAGCTTCACACTGTTCGGAGAATATTGGTTTGCTCTTGATGTAGTTGTTGTTGTTTTGTCTGCTCGTTGCTTTAATTGTTTGATTTTCCTTTTTGCAAGCATTATTTAAATATGATATATTTTCATGAGCGGTTAGATTCTTCAATGTCATTATAGAACCACAATAATCTTGTTTAAGTGTTTCAATAAAAAATCTTGTCTTCTCCAGGCTCGTGCAATGACGAAATAAATAATTACACGTGTACCTGTGACCCAGGTTACACTGGTCATAACTGCAGTGTAGATATTGACGAGTGCCAGCCTTCTCCCTGTATCCATGGTAAGTTCTCCCTTTACGAGAGAGACATCCTTGAATAAAACTCTAATTTAGGACCGGCTACTGCTGTACGTAAGGAATTCATTTGAAGCAGAGTATCCTCTCTAATCTGCAAAGAAAGGCAGCCCCGGTTTTAAACCAGTTTCCTGGCACTGCAGTCGCGCCTGTGGCCTGTTTGGCCAGTACCTTTCCCAGACACTTTTGAACACGTTGGTTTACCTTGGTATCGCATTTTCTCCTCCTAATTATAGTTATTAGGTAGCAATATTCAGAAAACTAAAGCGTAAAATCTTACTTGTAATGGTTCTTTTCAAGTTATGACGAACATTTAAAAAGTGAAGGACCGCAATGACTGAGGGTTTCAAATACGCTTTAAACAATTTATCAGGACTTCGACTCCAAAAAAATAATTAGGTGTGACCCCTAAAATAAACCTTATCTACTTAACTGAATCTAATTTCTATCGTTTTCTTTGTGACAGGAAACTGTTCGGACCTTGTTAATGGTTTTAACTGCTTTTGTCAATCTGGTTTCACAGGCACTCTATGTGAACACAACATCGACGACTGTCCTTCCTCTGGTTGCGGAAACGGTGGGAAAATGGATTGAGTTTTAATTTTATTACCTGTTTCATAAATTATAGCAGTAAATGGGTGATTTATAGGGTCCTGGTCCCTCAAGGTAGGATGGTTCATGCAATCTAGAATATAGAGGCTAAAGATATGTGTCATTCTTAAGGATTCATAACGAAGAACGGCAACAAGTTGGAGACCAAGGTAAATCGTAAACCTACAAACACGGGCCTACTACGCAATTTTCAAAGGCACACAGATTTACGCTATAACAATAAGAACATTTATTTAAACGCGATAAAAATTACAGCGAAGCTGATGTGGTCGTTTCCTTAATAATCAACCCAATTATCGTAGTTTACCTAATATGGTCGTGTACATAAAAATTAACCTTATTAATTAATCTTGATTTAAAATCAACCTAATTGATCTAATTAACCTAATACGGTCGAATATTTAGAAATTAATCCAATTAATTTTTAAAAGAATTGTCTTGTTAAAACAATGGTTCATCGTGCAAGGGAACCAGATCAGACCAAGTAAAGTAGTTACGAAGTTAGGGGTGTGGCTAGACCCATCACTAACAATGAACACTCATATAAATAAAACTTGTAGTACAGCTTTTTATCACCTATATAATTTACGTAGAATAAGGAAATATTTTACAAAGAATCGATTAAAATTTTAATTCATGCATTAATTTATAGTCCTATCGACTACTGCAATAGTTTATATTTTGGGCTGCCAGAATATCAAATCAATAAGTTACCAAGAGTGCAAAACGCAGCGGCAAGGTTGATATTCATGGCTAGTAAATATTGTCACATTACTCCATTACTTTTTAAACTTCTCTGGCTGCCCATTCGTCAACGTATTTTATTTAAGATCCTTCTGATCACGTATAAGGCTGTTCATGGGCTTGCGCCTAATTATATACTAGAATTAATTAAGTTAAAAACCCTCGGAAGGTACAGATTACTATCTTGTAATGATGATCTATTACGGGAATTTCCAAAAGGGAAGATGTACCCCACACTCGGTGACCGATCTTTTCAAACAGCCGCACCAAAACTTTGGAATGTTGTTCCATATCATATTAGAAATTCAAAACCGTTGATTCTTTTTAAAAAATATTTAAAGACGTATTTATTTAAAGAAGCCTTTAGTTGTTAAATATCGAATTACTTTAGATTACATTATATATATTTTTGTACTTAAAGTACACTATTATACATTTTTAGATATTTTATTGACATATGTTTAGCATCTATATTAGTTTATTATTAGCGTTTTTTCTTTTTCTACTTGTTTTTTTTTTTCAGTTAGATTGTTGTAACATTTTAGTTTCTGCGCTGATGAAAATGAATATTGATATTAGCGCAATATAAATTAATTTATAACAATAATTGTCCTCTAAGCATCAGGCATTCATCGATGAATGTAAACGTCTACAATCTACGGTATGTTTACTCACCTTGGATATCCAAGTTCGTTCGTAACTGGCATCATTGATGAATGTGATTATCCCCCAACTAGAGAGGCTAAGACGAAACGTGTTACTGATGAAACATTTAGACCCAGCATCCCGTTTAAAGATCAAACCTCAGCGAACTCAGTTAAAAGCAGATGAGAGATCTCAGTTTAAAAATTGGCATTGATGTACGACCAGTATTCACCAGCAAGAAACTTTAGCATGATCATAAGTTTAAAGAAATCAAGCCACCTATTGTAAATCAGCACAGCGTTGTTTATTGTTATAAATGTAATCTGTGAGATTCAAATTATGTCGGATATACGACACGCCATCTATTTCAACGCATTGCTGATCATCGATATTCTGCCATTGGTCATCATCTGAAAGATGCTCATGGGAACGTTAACTTACTCAATGAGAGCCAATTTCTGGTGCTTAAAAAATGTAGCACGAAATGGGATTGCCTGGTCAACGAAATGTTGTACATAAGAACAATAAGACCTAACTTAAATGCCCAGAGTGACTCCACTAAGGCTACGCTCTTTGTTTGACTCTCGATGACTTTTAATTTATTCATTTTCTCATCTATATATATCTTAGTTTTGTTATTTCATTCTCACTTGATAATGACGTTCCGGAAACGTCGAAACGTCGTGTAATGTTTTCCAATATTTTATCGCATAGTTTTATTGTAAAATGTAGTTTTTTCTGTTCTTTTTCATTTGTTTTACATCACTTACTGCATGTGGTTTTCACTTTTTGCGAAATCGTTGTTTATGCAGGTACTTGTGTCGATCTCGTAAAAAATTACACTTGCCAATGTAATGTTGGATTTAGAGGCCAGCATTGTGATGTGGTCAACCAGAACTGCACGAGCGACGCATGCTTTCCTGGAGTTCGCTGCATTCAGAAAACAAACACTATAACATGTGACCCTTGCCCCACCGGATACTTTGGTGACGGAAAGAATTGCGAAGGTATGACCGACTTAAGTATACTTTGGCTAATCCTAGTAACGACGCTGAGGATAGGATACTTAATGAGGGCACAATGACAAATTTAAGTACTGAGTTACTGGGGACGCACTTTTACAAACGAGTTTTGGCAACTTTGTTTGGGTTATATTCGGCAAAATAACAACTTGTTTCTACCAAATTAGAATCTCAACAGTAGGTTGTACATTTTCGGCTCTGTTGATCCTGAATCCCTAGCTTCGCATTTTTAGTTGAGAAGGTTCTACCTCATTTATAGATCAGTAAGTACAAACTCAGTATTCACAAAATCCTTGAAGCAAATTTTGATTTATACTTTTAATGGTCATGAACCATGCAATTTAATGACTAATTGTCTATAAGAAATATAGAAGAGGACACTGAAACATCATGAGGTCATTCCTGATCCCTCTATTAGCTACTATTTCTATTTAGAAGTTTACTTGATACTTTCCACCATTATAGGCTTTGTCTCTTGCATGTGTTTGTTGATTCTCTTGTCCGCCCATTTTAGATATCGATGACTGCATTAATGTTACATGCAAAAACGGTGGTTCGTGTATAGATGGAATAAATAATTACACGTGCTCGTGCCAATTAGGATATACTGGAGATTGGTGTGAGAGAGGTAGGAATCTAACAATTAATTATCATATGGATAGGAGTATTTTACCAGGAACTAAAACACTCGTAGAATCAATACGACCACTACAGCCGAGAACCGAGTGGCGCATTTTTCCTAAGTAAGACGAGCGGTCATATTGAGCAAAGATGTCATGATTTCGCCTTTTAAACTTTGCTGAATGAAATCGGTTTGTTCATTGTTTGAAATGATGACCGCCGCAAGATTTGCTGTCGTAAGTGATATCTCACTCTTTGCAGCGATCACTTTGAGAAATTGATCCTGCCACTCGAACATAAAAACCAGATCTTCTCACCCGTGACTATTGTAAAATATCTTCCACGTACATGGGCCTGAATAGACGAGGATACCGTTGTGGCAAAAAAAAAAAAAATTAACCATTTATATTTTTACGTAAATAACTTACGATGACTTCCTTAAATAGATAAAAGCTGGTAGTTTCTAAAGAAACTGTTTGAGGCTGCGTCGGTGGGGGTAGG